GTCTAGTTTCCATAACACAAACTCTGCTTATCGTGGAACTAGATGGCGTTTTAGTAATTGTTCAGAGTTAAATATTAAAAAAAAAATGTATGTAAATTTGAGTTTATTGACATAAAGCCACCTATATTTCTGATATTTGTTGTTTACTTGTGGGGACTGGTCTGTTCAGGTTACGAACACTGATTAGACTATCTACTTTTGCAATAGCATATGCTGGTAGTCAAACTATTCTCCCAAATTTGAATTTAAATGAATCTGTATTATTTTAAACATGTATTTGTGAGCTGAGCTGATTTATTACGAGCTGAGTTTCTTGTCAGTTCTTCTCATCTCGAAATCATTTCGAACTGACTGTAGATTTGACATATCATAAGAGTCTAATAGACCTACATGAATTAAGATATTTTGAATGGAATTTTTGAGTTGTATTGAGCAATGGGGTTACTAATATTCACATGACTAATATTCCCTACCCCCTATAGGCAACAGTTACCACTTACCATCAGGTGGAATTTATCCATTTTGATGAATAAAGATGTATTTTTTCTTCACCTCACTCGTACGCTATATTTGTGAATAAAGAATTTATACCTATCTAAATTAAAATTATAAATGTTCTCAATTGTGTTAGAAAAATTTTAAATACATAGCACTGACAATATTATCTGATTACACTTATAATGAGTGCGTAGCGATTTCTATGTTGATTGTCTCATGCCTCTTACTTGTTACACTGTAATTATTTATATAAAAAAAACATCTATCAAAAAGAGCAACACACAAGTTTCTTGCTCGTTCTTCTTGTGATGAATCTGCATTCCGAATGAGTGGTAGAATCAAAATATGACTATTCAAAAGTGCTTGTAATGAGTTTATTTGAATAAAGATTATTTCTATTTCTATTTCTATTTCTATAAAAGATTCTCTATGATTAGCTAAATTAAAATGTTAATAGTAGTCGATGTTTTAAGAAACAATTTAACATCACCATCTCGCCATATTCACCTGGATACACCGAGGCTTCCGCTGTCAGTACATACATAATAACCCTTTATCATCTGTCTGTTTGTCTGCTCATCTGATCTGCGAGGGTGGCACACAATCAAACACAAATCAGACCCTATCCACTCGCAATAAAGCCTTTTATTCAACAACGAGCGTGTTTGCCAAATCCGACCAAGTTACTAATATTTACCAATATATTGTTATTTCATGCTATTGTTTGCACGTTTGCGATTTCGTGATTATACTTTGGTGTGTTGGATTTTTTAACAATAGCAACTGAAGATAGATGAAAATGGCACTTTTTGTATGTTTCCATTCAGCCGTTGGCGCGGACATGCGTTATGTGAAGGGTTTTATTTTTTTAACGGGCTAATATTTTTTTTAATCATTGTACGTTAGATATCAAACTCATACAGCCTAATTTGGTTTTTTGTTCGTAATATGGCCTTTTTGTGGGATAAATTAGAGGTTTTCGACGCTAAACAAATTTAAAACATTGTAGTTACCAAAATAATGTTTGTTCAAACATTTCAGGTGTGTATAGGCTACGGTAACCGTTCACCATCAGATAGGCCGTATGCTTGTTTGGCACCATTGTAGTAAAAAAACGGAGAAAGTTAATGTTTATATTAACCTTTCTCTTTCTTGAAATCGGATGTTAATATTTATGACATTTTTTATAAATTTGTATGTGAATCAAAAATTTTATACCTTTTCTTATGAAAATTGTGAGGACATAAAAGTATAATAGTATACATATTTAGGGAAAGAGTGCAGAATACTAATATTTTATTAAAATTATGCATAATCTACATTAAGTGTATAAAAAATATATTACACACACAAGATGAGACATGTATAAATCTCGTGATGAATCTGCATTCCGAATGAGTGGTAGAATAAAAATATGACTATTCAAAAGTGCTTGTAATAAGTTTATTTGAATAAAGATTATTTCTATTTCAAGAGTCATAGAAAACTCTTCTCATAAATAGTTAGTTTATTAATGAAAAATAAGAAAAAGACACTACGATCAGTCCACACCTAGTCTTATAATAATGGATTAAACACTTATAAATCATCCTTTAGTTATGACTGCAAGAGTCATAAATAGTTATTATTAATGAGAATAAGAAAAAAGATATGATATGATGATGGTGATTACAATCAGTATTCACACCAACCATATTCATGCACCACCTACACACACAGACACCTTACACTTACTCGTCTATATTGGTTTTGCTAGATAGTTTTAGAATATTTTAGCTTAGCAAATTGTACTTTTGGACTTAAAATTATTATAAGATAATTCGTATTCTGGTACGTACAGGACAGAGTCAGCCTAGTGTAGGAATCAATGCTATTGTGATTGTATTGAAACAATTTTGGTATATAAATAAATAATAATAATTATTATTATTCTATGTGAAGATTAAATACTTATAAATCCTCATTCTGTTGAGCTCTGTAAACTGATGATGATAATGATGTTGTTATTGTTGTTGTTGATGATAATGAAATTCTCAATTTTTTGTTATGATTTTGTAAGAAACATAAAAACTTGTTTGTTTTCTTTTTCAAAAAGAAAACGAAGAATAATTTGCAAGCTTCACTTAAAATGAATACAATTAACTCATATGTCAACATACAATGAAAATATAACTAGGGCTTCAATAGTTCACACAGTGCCTCTTACGAGCCGTTTATGTTGCTAAAAGCATTTCTCTTTCAAATTGAAACTGGCATGATAATAACTTGAATAGTTTTTTTATTAATGAAATATAAGAATTGGTTACTATGACGACGTCCGTACATAGTCTTCCAATAAAAGATTACATACTTATAAATCCTAATTCTGTTGAGCTCTGTAAACTGATGATGAAGATGATAATGATGTTGTTATTGTTGTTGATGATGATAATGAAATTCTCATTTTTTCGTTATGATTTTGTAAGAAACATAATAACTTGTTTGTTTTCTTTTTCAAAAAGAAAACGAAGAATAATTTGCAAGCTTCACTTAAAATGAATACAATTAACTTATATGTCAACATACAATGAAAATATTACTAGGGCTTCAGTAGTTCACACAGTGCCCCTTACGAGCCACTTATGTTGCTAAAAGCATTTCTCTTTCAAATTGAAACTGGCATGATAATAACTTGAATAGTTTTTTTATTAATGAAATATTATAATTGGTTACTATGATGATGTCCGTACATAGTCTTACAATAAAAGATTACATACTTATAAATCCTCATTCTGTTGAGCTCTGTAAACTGATGATGAAGATGATAATGACGTTGTTATTGTTGTTGTTGATGATAATGAAATTCTCATTCTTTCGCTATGATTTTGTAAGAACCATAAAAACCTGTTTGTTTTCTTTTTCAAAAAGAAAACGAAGAATAATTTGCAAGCTTCACTTAAAATGAATACAATTAACTCATATGTCAACATACAATGAAAATATAACTAGGGCTTCAGTAGTTCACACAGTGCCCCTTACGAGCCACTTATGTTGCTAAAAGCATTTCTCTTTCAAATTGAAACTGACATGATAATAACATGAATTGATTCACAATTATAATGCTACCAAACATTATTCATCCCTTTAATATTTCATAAACTAGTTCTGCTGGGGTTGTTCTCGGAGGGCGGGGCTAGCGTATGCCCACCCTATGCACAGCTTCTTTTAGGAGTATCAAAATCACGCGTGTACCATACGGAACGTATTATAGGGTTTTCATGTTTAATTAATACTCCGCTTTGTACTAGGATCACATGAGTTTGATAATTGAGAATTTAACTAGAAATTATATCAAATTCCATTTCAAAAGTCATTTATTCATGTAGGATATTTTAGCCGCTTTTGAACGTTAATATTTTACATTATAATTTTTGATTTTTTCTCTACAGTCCAGTTCGGTTCAATTGAGAAGAACTGGCAAGAAACTCAATTGCATTACTTTTTTTTAAATGCCAGTTTATTTGCAATGTATATTTATATAGGTATCTATGTCTAACATTAAATGAAAATCTTCTTTACATAGTATAAAATAAAGTCGCTTCTGCTGTCTATGAGCTTAGATCTTTTATACTACGCAATGATTTAAATGCAGATTTTAGCAGTAGATAGAGTGATTCAAGTGGAAGTTTTGTATGTATAGTACATGTAGGTACGGGTGTACACCCGTGCTGAACCGATTTTGAGGAAATTTTATATGTATCCTCTATGTTAACTAACTATATGTTTGAGAATAGGTTGTTATCTATTTTTTTATACAACTAAATATTCTAAAAATTCCATATTCTTAAAATGAAATACTAAATCTGTAGGCATGTAGTAGATAAATCGTAAAGATATGTGTATTATTATGTACCAGAATTAAAATCCTTTACGAATGGATTAAAAATTGCTTGTTTGTGTTCTACTAGAAGTATAGATAGTAATAAAAACAAAGCCATTTATGTAGAAAAGTAACACGAGCATTGACCTACATTAGTCAACTTAGAACATACCAACACAAACATAAGTAGCAATCAAAGAGTGTGATAGTAATAATATAATGAAATAAGTATAGATCATAAAACGGACCAAGACAGTAAGAAACAAGCAAAATTATTAGCAATAAGTTGCTCTTCATAAAAAATGTATAGTATTAAGAATGTTGTTGCATATAAAACAGTAACCAAATTGGATTTAATGAGATAGATATTAAGGATGTTAGCGTCCCATACAAAATTATTCATTGCAACAAAAATGCTCCATTCATGGTACGGTTTTTTTGAACTACAACTGGGGTTGACGGCTCGCCGACAAAAGGGTGGGACGGACCACGTAATTGCCAAAACGCTTCGAGTGAGACCTATTGTGTTTATTTACAATAGGGTGCAATAAGTGGGGGTAGTTTTTGTAATTGTTACTTTTAGGAACTCGACCCAACACACTAGTATTGAAGCAGACACTGGGGCGAGTGGAAGTGCCATAAAATGTCTCGTTCATTCCTAGTTGACACTCTTATTAGTGATACAAAAGATAGGAAACCAGAAATGTCTAGTGACCCATTGAATTCGTATACCAGTTTAATGGCGCATCATCTCGATGCTCGACCAAAGTTTATACCATACTCGTATCCGGGAAACTTGAATAATCTGCTAACTCTTGGATTGCAACACCAGCAGCGATCTCCAGACTTGTTCCGACCTTTCCTGGAGCATTTGAACTTTCGGTATCCTCTTCTACACCAGTTACCACGGCAACCAGAATTTTTCGATCCAATTCAAAGCGAGCGAAGACCATTTGAAGGTTATGTGAAGACTGAAGAACAAGAACCTATAAACTTTGTAAGCAAGAGAAAGAAGTCTGTATCCCCATACCTGCATCATCCCTATAAATCGACTGCAATATCGCCATCGAAGAGTCAAGGTCAGAGATCACCGTCTTTATCAAGTGAAAGCCGAAATGGAACTCCGAGTCCTCCTCTAGCGCACCCAGAAGAACTTCTCCCAGGATTTTCTAAAGATCTAAAACGTCTTCCTTTAAAAGAAGACTCAAGTAAACGCATCAGAACTGCCTTCACAGGAACACAACTTCTGGAACTAGAAAGAGAATTCTCAATGAACATGTATCTATCGAGACTGAGGAGAATCGAGATCGCTTCCAGGCTGAAGCTATCGGAGAAACAAGTGAAAATCTGGTTCCAGAACCGCCGCGTTAAGTTGAAGAAGGAAGAAACTCCGGTGGGCTCCAGCGATGGTAGAACTAAAAAGTGTTGCTGCACAAAGTCCACGTGTTCTAAAAGCCAGTCCGAGTCTCCCTGTGATAATGATCAAGAACATATAGATGTAGTAAGTGATAACGACACGAGTTTTGAATCGCAGAATTTATTATCTTATCGGTAATAATACAGTCAAAGTCTTCAATTATATTGTGAATAGAACTTTATTTGAGACGTTAGTGAATAAAATTACAATAGCAAATAAAACGGTCTGTATTTTTGATACATAGCAATTAATATGTGAAGATAAAGATTTTAAATTTAGTTTGTTATTGAGAATACTTAAAAATAAAAACCGATTTGAACAGTCCTTTAAACAACATAATTTTACAATACATTTAGCTAGACTTTATTCCAAAATATGAGAAATTTACAATTTTTACGTGTAAGCCAGAGCTGTTAGTATTTAGTAATATTATTAAATTAGTTATAAGACAATTGTACATAGTAATTTATGGGATGAATGAAGAAGTCTGAGTTATGAATATGTAATAAGAATATTATTATTCATATAGTTAAACGGGTTTTAACACGAATAACTTTATGGTAAGTAAAGGTATTTACCTCTCTTGACATTTCTACTAGGTTGCACTATCTGTGGTCACGAGCTGACCACGGCTTACAATAATACCTTCCTTACATAGTATAAAGTGAAGCTACCGCCATTATCTGATTGGTTATATCTTTTAAATTACGCCACGGATTGTAATGTAATTTCAGCAATAGATATAGTGATTCAAGAGGAAGGTTTATATGTATAACTAACTGTTCCCGTGACTCGTCCGCGTGGAAATTAATATTATTTTTCTGAAATATTTTACATTCTAAAATAAAAGTAGTCTAAGTTACTCCTTATTATATCAGTCACCTGCTAAAAAAAGTCCCGTCAAAATCGGTCCAGCCATTTCAGAAATTAGCCGGAACAAACAGGCAGACAAAAATGATGAAAAATGTTACTTTGGTGTATGTACCGTATATATATTCCTATGCGTGTAGTAAAAAACGGTTACTTCAATATTACAAACAGACACTCCAATTTTATTTATATGTATAGATACACGCGTGTTATAGTATAGAACAAGTCGATAAATTCAAAGATTAGTAATGCATCTGTACTGTGTATGACATGTTAGTTCATCATAAAATTATTTGTGTTAAAACTCGTTTTAACTGTATAATTATGTGTACTAAACGCGAAGTTTAAAAGTAAAAATGAAATATATTTTCATATAAATTTACTAATTGTTAGATATATAATAAATTTTATTAATAAAATATGTGCTTGTTTAATTTCTTTCTGCTCTAATTTGGTATGTGATGGGGTAACTCTGGAACGTCATTTGCTTTTATTAGAGGAATAGGAATTTGGTATTTGTAGTCAATGGAATGCTGGGGACAACGTTTTCAAACACACCCGCTCTAGTAATGCATTATTGACTATTATATTAATACTATTCAATAAAAGAATTCCGAGAAATAAATATTTTTATTTAAAACTCAAATTAAAATAAATCAAAAATTTTTTTTTAGATAACATAATTTTACTATTACATTCTACAGTTGTTGAAGACTACTAATTTTTTTTTCTTTAATTCCTTTATGCATACTTCAATCATAATTGAAGAAACAATTGTAAATGCTTACTTGTGATGAGTCTGCGTTTCGAATGAGTGGTAGAATAGAATAGAATAGAAAATCATTTATTCAAACAAACTTATTTTAAGCACTTTTGAATAGTCATATTAACATTTATTTAATCTGCCGCTCATTCGGAAAGCTGTCTCATCACAAGAAGAACGAGCAAGAAACTTGCATTTTGCTCTTTTAAATAATACATGTAAGTTCACATTTTAGAATTCGAAACTTGTGAATACAAACTACCAACCAGCACTAATTTATTAGGGTCAAATATAAATACACAATAAGATTAAATAATTATTGTAACATTACATGTTTAATAGTCATAACGTGCGAATACAAACCACTATAAATAAAAATATATATACTTTATTGCACATTTAAGTACAATGTTTTATATATTTGTTACAAATTTTGTGTGCAAAGGAGAACTTATATCTAAAAAAGATCTTTTCCAGTCAACCCAAAACAGCGTGACACAGGAAGTGGTGTGTTGGTCACAGGAGTGTGACTATTCAAAAGTGTATTGAGTTCATTTGAATAAAGATTATTTGTATTTCTAATTCATAGTAAATATGAATTCAAAATTCAATACAAACAAGAAAATTATTTGAATTTCATTTTTTAATAGCCAGTTTATTATTTTGTACACTTATATAGGTATCTTTACATATTATTAAATGAAAATCCCGTGCAAGAAATAAGTAGATAGTTTTATATAAAACATATTTTGTTCCCTCTTTGTAATTAATGTCACAGATTGTACATATTTTTTTTAATCTATTTCATAAAGAAATACCATAGACAAAATGTGATAGCAGATTAACTAGAACCTTAAAAAATATATAGATAAAATGTAATTTTGATCTTTTCAATAAGTCTGTGTCTATTTATAACATAGAAACTAATTTCATCGGCTTATTTCTTCTTTAAAATTGTTTTATATATAAAAGGGATCAAAGGACACTTTCATTAAATGCCTTCCTTTTAGACATATTACAAATTTCTTTAGACTAATAAAAATCATTAGTTGCTTTGTTCAAAAATACGAAATGAGTTTAAGATTTTCGGGAAAATGGCAGATTGTTTATTTATTTGAAACCAACAGTGTACACAATACATAAAAACAGAAAGTACAAACCAATAGTATAGCTAATAATAGGTTTCACAATATCAGTAAAAAAATATAAGAAAGTGATATACTTCACACTATAGATACCAGGAATACATTCCGAGGTTTCAGGAGTGACCTAGGCCGCGTAATATGGGAGTTCATAATTCGCAGCACACTTCAGACTAGTCAGGACTGATAGTAATTGTTATGTATCACTGCATACATTACTATATATGATTATAATTTTACATGTTACATTTAAACGTTACTTATTTTATACCTTAAACAATATATTTCAATACCCAACAAAAATAACACAAAAACAATTGCACTACAGTCAGAATTATCATACTATAAATCCAATTACTATGATGTGTATTCCTCAGCCATTTATGTTATCTATTTATGAAACAAAGAGACAAACTGGAAGCCTTTGAAATATGGTGTTAGAGAAGAATGGAAAGAATTAGCTGGAAAGATAAAATAAGGAATGAAGAAGCTTGAGAGGATTAAAGAAAAGAGACAGATCCTAGATATTATTAAGAATAGGCGGGGAAAAATGTTGGGGCACTTGATACGACACGACGAACTAATTAACAACATTATAGAAGGAAAAATAGATGGGAAGAGAGGAAGGGGAAGACCGAGACACAGCTATACAAGCAAGTTAAAGAAAAAGTTGGAGTCGTGTCGTATCAACAGCTAAAGGGACTGATAGATGATCGTGGAAGGTGGCGGGAGCTCCACCGACAAGATCACAGCTCTTAAATTATGAAAGAATGAATTTATGATATACTAGGTAATTATTATTGATATATGATTATCGATGTTTTATATTTTTTTGAAGTTATTGGAATAACAAATTAATTTGCTGTCCACCTGATGGTAAAAGGTAACTGTGGGTAAATATAATATTTCCCTTCGACAATTCACACAACGCCATCTAGTCCCAAGATAAGCAGAGCATGTGTTGTGGGTAACTATGGGTAAAAAAGTTAGAAGTTAGTTAAGTTGGAATAACGAACTACTTGACTGTTCATCTGACAGTAAAAGGTAACTGTGGGTAAATATAATAATATTCTTTTTAAACTTTCGTGTTTAATATACATTATTTAAATTATTAACCGGGTCTTAACACGACTAATTTTATGCTCAGTCAGCTCGTGACCACGGCTACTGCAAACTAGTCGAAACATCGAGAGAGGTAAATACCTTTATTTGCCATAAAATTATTCATGTTAAGACCCGGTTAATAATTTAAATAATGTATAATAATATTCTTAGAAAAGTCGCACAACGCCATCTAGTCCTAAACTAAGCAGAGCTTGTGTTATGGGTACTAAACAACTGATATAAATACATAGAAATATTTTTTGTGTAAATACATAATATACATAGAAACATAGAACATCCAGACCAATACAAACAATCATACTCATTAATGGAAATATTTATAACTTTTTACTCGTATGATAAACACGAAATTGTGTCTGTATGTCCGTCTGACTATTACAACTGACAATTCCATTAATACTCTAGTTGTGGACACTAGCTTGTATATGTCAAGCAATTGCTAAAAAAGGAGGTTAGGGATCTCCTTTTTTCAGACAGATTTTTTTTAAATTATAACAATTTATAAAAAAATATACAAACGCAGTAATATTCACACAGCTCTATCTAATACCAAATTAAAAAAACTATACTTTTTTACTTTGCCTATATCTGGTTTTAAAAAACATTTTTCTTTTTTGTAATTATATATACTTACCTATTACACATAAAAACCAGACCAATATAAAATTTGTATCGCGAGAACTGAAACCTCGACCATCGAAGCAAAGCGATGTGCTCAACCACTACACCATCAAGACATTTAATTTACTATTTATCTGTAAAATTTCTACATCCTTTTTAGTAAGCTGTATAAAGGTATGACCTTTGCCATTTTAAAAATACAAAGCACATTAACCCATACGCTACCAAAGCCCGGGTTTTATCATAATGATAATATAAGATCTACTCGGTTTAAAACACACATATTTTACTTTAACTTGATTAGACGAAGCCATGTAAGTATAAAGTTAAATTGGATTTAACAATTAAAAATAAAAACTATATTCAGTTTAAAAAAAAACAAATTCTATTTTTCAATTTAACAATTAAAAACTATATTTGGTTCGAAAACAAACAAATTCTATTTTTGAATTTAAATAGATCCTATCGATTATATTACGAAACACGTCCTTGAGAATAAGTACTTTAAAGTCGAATTTTTATTATAAGTTAAATTGTATTTATCAATTATAGATTTAAAAACGATATTTGGTTTGAAAACAAAAACTAATTCTATTTTTAAAAATGGAACATATCAA